GCCAGGGGACTACGTGCCGAAGCCCAGCGGCAGGGCGCTGCTCTGGCGGACCTCCGCGGAGGGTTCCTCCCTGCGGGGCCTCGGCGGCAGCGGCGGCGGCGACGGCGACGGCGGCGGCGGCGGCGGCGGCGGCGACGGCGCCGGCGACCACGGCAACGACGAATGACGACGACGACGGCGAACGACGAATGACGGCGAACGACGAATGACGACGACGACGACGACGACGACGACGACGACGACTTCTTCTACTGCGAGTGCTACTGCTGTTTCGAGAAGAGAGGGCGGGCGAGAGGGGAGGGCGGGGAAGGGAGGGCGGGAGAGCGGGAACGGGGGGGGGGACGGGAGTGGAGGGCCGGTGATGGCATGGAGCGATGCTGGTAAGATTGGTGGGACTGGCCCAGCCAGGGTGGGGCATGGGAGGGGGGTGGGCCTGGGAGGGCGGCGGGGGAGGAGGGGGAGGAGGAGGAGGAGGAGGAGGAGGAGGAGGAGAAGGAGGAGGAGGAGGAGGAGGAGGAGGAGGAGGAGGAGGCGGGGGTTGGGCCAGGGAGGGCGGCCAGGGGGGGGAAGGGGGAAGGGGGGGCAGGCGGAGCGCGGACGGAGCCCGCGAGGAGCGCGGGCGAGAGGACGGCGGAGCAGCTAGGAGGGGAGGCGCAGCAGACCGCGGATGGGGGGAGGGCACGACGAGGGGAGTGAGACGGGGGCCTCCTTTCAGGCGATCGCAAACATGGATCAAGTGGGCGTGGATTAGCGACGGGTCCCGTTCCCATGGGGAATGGCGGATTTCCGCCGCCTGACGAGGTGGCACCGGCCGCATTTTGGGCAGGGCACCTCCCCCGATCCATGGGTTTGGCGACCGCGCGCCAAGTCCATGGATCGCTAATCCATGTTTGCGCGCCCGCGATCTTTGGTCCTCCCAGCAGTCCTCTTGCTCGCCCTCCTTGCTCACATCCGCCTCCTCCTCCTCCTCCCGCCCCCTCCTCCTGCCCATCCTGCCCCCCCCGCCTCCCCTCCTCCCCTCTCCTGCCGTTCCTCTCCTGCCGCGTCTCGCATGAAGCGAGACTTTTGGGCGAGCTGGCCGGCTTCCGGTGGCATGCCAGACCGCGACACGATGGTGCCATGCGGGGCGTCCCAGCGCCCCCCCCCGCATCCTCTCGCCGTGGAGAAATTACGGCGGACGGCTTTTGGCCCTTTTCGGCCTCCAGTGCCCTGACTTCGGATCCGCCGTACGTGATGTTCCGATCTAAAGTGTGTCGGAAATGCACCCCGGACGGTGCGAAAAAGTAGGGTGGACATCGCCGCCTCAGAAGTAGGGCGGATATTTCCGCAATGGTATCTCGGAATCAGCAGCGGCAGGGTGGGGCGGAAATCGATGTCAAAGGAACTTGAAGAGTAGGGCGGGGATTTCTGCCATACTTGCGAAATCGCGCAGAACACGGCGGATCTGGAGTCAGGGTCGGGGGTGCGAAAGGTCGGACGGGGCTAGGACTAGGACGATGATAAAAATCCGTTTCAGAGCGTTCCTGGAACTCTTCTCAGGACGTTCTGGAACGTTCTGAGAAGGCCGCGGCGCCCGAGACGTCCTCCAGAGCTGCCGGATCTCAGAGATTATCCTCTTTCTCCTCCTCCTCCTCCTCCTCCTCCTCCTCCTCCTCCTCCTCCTCCTCCTCCTCCTCCTCCCCTCCACCTCTTCCTCCACCTCCGCCTCCTCCTCCTTCCTCCTCTCCTCCTCCTCCCTTTCCTCCTCCTCCTCCTCCTTCCTCCTTTTCCTCCTCATGCTCCTCCTCCTCCTCCATCTGCTCTTCCTCCTCTCCTCTCCTCCTCCTTCCTCCTCCTCCTCCACCTTCTCCTCCTCCTCCCTCCCCCCCCATCCTCCTCCTCCTCCTCCTCCTCCTCCTCCTCCTCCTCCTCCTCCTCCTCCTCCTCCTCCACTTCCTCCTCCTTCTTCTCCCATTCCCCCTCCGTGGCCATTTTCCGTAGCCTTTTTGGCTCAAGGCTAACATGGGTCCCTGTCACTGCCTCAGCGGGGTCGGCTCCTTTCCATACCACCGCGAGCGTCCGCGCTACCCCCCAGCCCTCGGTGCCGCGCGGGGCCGCCGCATGCCTGAGCGTGGTCTGGCGAAGACGCCGAAGAAGGAGAAGAAGGATGACAAGCGGGACAAGAAGCAGAAGCGCCTGGCCTCCAGAGAGCTATCCGAGTCGGCTCCAGGTCCCCCTCGTGCTGATGCGCCGGCCGCTGCTAGTGGTCATGATGCACCTGCTGGTGATGCTTTGCACATTGGCATGCAGGTTGGCCCCAACAATCATGAGCAGCAAGCGCCCCTGGCCGAAGTTCAGCGATACGTGTCCGCAGAGGTTGCTGCAGCTATCGGCACCAGACTCCAGTCCCTCTGGCAGCATCGCCTCCGACATGGAGGAGCGGGTCGCCACCACTATATATGACGCCCTTGCCCCTGCCATGGCGAAGCTCGATTCTGCCCGTGAAGGTCTTCAGGCTGTTCCTGGAGTAGTCGAGAAGCCCACCTTGGCCAAGCAAAGGCGACAGTTGCTGAGCAGTTCAAGAAGTATCAATCTCAATAGGGTAAGCTTACGCTGCGAGTGCGTGAACATACGACGACGCTTGATAAGCACGCGGCTGCTATCGAATCGCTCCAGCGTGACATCAGGTTTCTCAAGGGCGAGCTGGCGATCCATAGCGAGGAGTCGACGGTGGTGGATCTCACGCAGAGTGGCTTCGACCGCGACATCGGCCCGAGGCTCATTCGAGTTTATGTGTCAGCACCCGCCCGTGAACCTCGAGTACGCGAAGCTATGTATTCTTTCCTCACAGAGATTGGCATCTCAGCTGATCATTAACACGTCAAGTGGAAATCGGTTGGGCACTATTCCGGCTTCATTTGGCCCCAGACAAATCACCCGCACAGATTGCTACCGACGCTATCGGCAAGAAGATCAACAATGTGAGCTCACGGAGACGCATGGCAGCACTTGACTCTTTGATCGGGAGCGCGGCGTGGTCAATTGGACGGAGGTTGCGCGAGTGGTTCCGCAACCGCAACGAGTGCCCGCGCAGCTTCTCTTCAACCGGATTTCTTTGACAAAACGAACTAGAACCAGCGCGAAGTGGTGGACTTACTACAGCCTGTGGTATCTGGAGGCCGGGTGGAAGCAGACTGGCGTTCATTTTAAGTTGTTATTTGAAGCGTTCTGGCCTGGCGGTTGGAAGGATCCCCTGGTTAAGTTATCCTTCTCGATATGGAACGCCAGAGCGTCGCCCCAGTACAATGGAGCTAAAGCCAAGAACAAAGCAGCGTATCTTCGGCCTCTTCGTCCTGATCTGTCATTTGTTGCATTTCGAGAGGTCCATGGCCATTGTAATATGCGTTGTCGGTTTCTTCACTTGGTCTCTCCTGGCGTTGTGATGCAGTCCTCCCTTATCCAGGGCTGTGCTGGATCACGTCGTGGTGGTGTTGACTGGTGCGAGCTGGCGTCCGTCTTCGCAGCGAGACCCGGTCATCCCTGGGCGCGTCCTTCGCCTCCGCTTGGTCTTCGAGCACGTGACAATCATCCACTGAGACATTCACGATCATGGCTCTAATGCAGCGCAGACCAGTTTCATCGCGCGCGAACTGGATGAAGATCGTCGCGCTGTGGCCCGGAGTCCTCGCAAGCCCTTCCTAGTTGTAGTGGGCGACTTCAAGTTTGCCCCAGTTGATGACTTACCTTTTCGTCTCCCCCAGGCTGCTGCGCCGTCGGGGCATCTCCTTGCGCGCGCGCCCTTGCGGCGATGAACCAGTTAGTTGAGATTCGAGCGGATGCTGGCACTCATTGCACTGCGGCCACGGATACTATTTCTTTGATTGACAGATGCTTCGTCGCGCTGCCTGGGCAGATGCCGCGCGAACTTCGCCTGCGACCTGCCGCCAATCAGGCTCCTGAGAAGGCATGCGCGCGCGAGGTCAGCGACCGCTCTGCCGTGACCTTCTTCATCGCGCCCAAAGCTGAGTGCGGTCCTCGGCGGCTTCCCATCTCTAATCATGTCCTTTCTTCTCCGATGTCCAAGAATATCGCGGCTGCCTTCGAACCTTGCCTGGGCCTTCCCTTGCGCTCGCCTCCGACTGCGTTGGGAGAATATATAATCTTTCTCACAGATATGGCACTCCTGGCCCGCGATCTGACGATGTTCTCTGAACCCCGACGACCGGCGACGCTGCTGCAGCTGGCGCGGTCTCTTGCTCGGGTGGTCTGGTGCAATGATGTTGCCCTAACCGAACGCCTCCTGCATGGTCGCCCTCTGGCCCAGGATGTTCTTCACTGATAGGCATCAGGTCCACCTGTCTTCGGCAGGTGCGTTTCTGGCCAGGTCCGATGAAGCGCAGCGGTCTGCGGAGGAGAAACGCCGACCAGACATTCAAGCTCGACTCGATGATCGGCGGCTTTACCATCGGCGCGCTCAATCACGCTGTCAGTCTTTGCGCGAGATGATGATGTGGTCTCGTATCGGATGCCCTCGAGATGCATCTCGCGAAGGTTCAGTCGCGGGCTCCTTCCTGTTTTCGCGGCGAAGCCCTCCGAGTCTACCGCCTCCAAGCGGTGCGTTGAACGCCTCCTCGGTAGTCCCCGCGCGTCCTTCGAGGCCTGCGGCCCCCCGCTCTGCCAGATGTTCGGCGCGGTCTTCGTCGCGTTCGTTCCGCGGCGCCCAGCATCGATGAACTGCTGCGCAGCTTGGCAGGCGCACGAGCGGGGGGCTCATATCCTTTTGGTGCTATTCTTTGGCAGCTAGAGGGCCCCCCTCGCTGGCGCGCTCTAGTGACGCGCGACAGGTTTTCACGCCGGAAGGTTCCGCGTCGTCCGATGCGACTCCTGAAGGCTGCATGCGTGCAGCTGCGAACCTGCGCGTGCTTGGACTGCGCAATGCAGATGCGAACGCCATGGCCTCGGTTATCAATTTCTCGCCCATGAAGATCGCGCACGGAGTTCCATGGACCCGAATAGGATTCGTGGCCACACGCT